TGATGCTGAGAATAACTGTACTATTGATAGTTATCATTCTTATAATAATGTTGATAATGATGGTAACGATATAGTCATTAATATTATTGACACTATTAGCGAGAATGATAATGATAGTTATAACAATGATAGTTATAATAATGATAATCATAGTAATAGTAACAATAATGATAATCATAGTAATAGTAACAATAATGATAATCATAGTAATAGTAACAATAATGATAAATAATAATAATAATGATAATAATCATATACTAAGAACGTTATTGATATTGATAATGGTAATTATGATAATGATATTTGGCAATGCCATTAGATTTGATTGTAATAATAATAAAGATGTTAATTGCAGTCTTGGTGCCTGGCCAGCGGTGGGCTGCGCCAGACCCTGTCTTAGACACTAGGGTAGTTGCCATGGTCCCGTTGGCCCTGGTCCTCGGATCACCTGAGGAGGAAAGAATGATGTGGAGGACCCTTTGATGCTGCCTTTGTCCTGGACGGGACTTCCGGGCTCCGCCTCCACCAACGAAGCAGGTGCGCTCACTATGCACCCGCGTTGGGCGGCCACCTCGCCAGCCTTGCCCTCTTGGCTTGAGTGCGCCATCACTTTGCAGTCCCCTTTGCGGCTATCCGCTCCACTAGCGGGCCTGCTGGATGCAGCATACCCGCATCCGCCTTGCATCCTCGCCCTCTTGGCTGGAGAGTACTATAAAGACGAGGCTGGTGCTTCACTCGCCATTTGCACCTCGTTCTCTCGGCTCGAGTGCGACTTCATAAACCGCGAACAACACCAAACGAGTCGCCAAGAAAAATAAAAGCAATATTTTCAAAGTCAAACACTGTAAATATGTACTGTCCGAAATGCACAGTTTTCACTTAAACTATGTATTATCAGTTTTCCTCAGCATCCCTTTCCTTATTTCTATTATTATTATTATTTCCTTATTTCTTTTATTATTTATTATTATTATTATTCTTTCTCTTCGACGATGCTTCCAAAGTGTCATAATAACAGCCGAAGGGAGTAATGGTCGTCATAGAATTTTTCCTCTCTCTTTTTTTTCATGGTTATTTAGGTCCTTTGTACTGTCGAACGATCGGGTTGGTCTTCGGTACCTTGCGTATTTTCGTCTTTTCGGGCCACGCCTAGGACATGGCCTGGGGGTCTCTTTCGGGGTAAAAGTACCCATGGTTTTGGGAAGGAAAGTAACTTCTGTCCTGTAAGATGGTTTCGCTCTTAGTGTTATTTGATTGTGCTCTCTTGGATTTACCTCGCTTCGTGCCAGAATTTCTGAATTCGTGTCTCCCCAAAGTTGAGTGTTTATTTATGTTTGTGTATGAGACACCCGGTCTGTTTTGGACTTTTGATTGTGACATACTGCATTACCATCTACAGGGTGCACTCTTTGTTGAAGTCTCAGTCGTAATCAGTGAGCCAAAGTGTCAGAGTGCCGTAGGCCTAGAACCTTACATCTGTTCACAGCAGATGAATCTTTATCTGAACAAGAAGCTATATTCTCGGTTGAGCCCGAACTCAACCAAACACATTGAAGTCTACTGGGTAATAATAATAATAATAATAATAATAATAACAGCAATAATAAAGATAGTAATAATAATACTGATAATATCAATAATGATAGTGATAATTGATAATGCTGATTATAATGATAGTAATAATAATAATGATAATAATAATGACTCGAAAATATTCTGGTGTTATCTCGAGCAGAGAAGGAAAGCACAGGAAAGATGCAGAATGTATGCAAGAATTTTATGAAGAAGTTAAAGAAGCCGAAGGTCAAGAGGAAATTAACATTACAAAAACACTGTTAAGAAAACTCTGCGAAAATGTCTCAATTGAAATGCTCCTTCCTCTATACCGTCTCTCTATTTCACGCAAGCGTTAAAGATACGATAGAAACATCAAAATTTGGGCTAGAGATGAACATACAGGAGAGCAAGAAGCGACTGTTGACTGTAGCTAGAAGGAAAAAAAACACGAAGGTAAAAAAAAAAAAAAAACGGTGAAGGAATCGAAGATCGAAGAGCAAAAGTGTGAAAAGAAAGCTGGAAGGAGAAAATCTTGCAAGGCCAAATTTATTCGACAGATTGAGTAGATTGCTGGAAAGAATATGGTTGAAATAAAGGGTTATCCTTACAGCTCGTCCCTCCCACTCTAAGCCCTGCATTTGACCCCTCTCACTGCTCTCCGATTCCTCATTCCACCTCCTTCGTCCCCTTACTCTCTTCCCTCTTCCCATCCCCTTCCCTCCTTCTCTCCTTTCCATCCCCTGTCCCCTTCCCTCCTTCTCTTCTTTCCATCCCCTGTCCCCTGCCCTCCTTCCATCCCCTGTCCCCTTCCCTCTTTCTCTTCTTTCCATCCCCTGTCCCCTTCCCTCCTTCCCTCCTTCCATCCCCGGTCCCCTTCCCTCCTTCCATCCCCTTCCCTCCTTCCATGCCCCTTGTCTGAGCCCCTCCCTTTCCTTCCTCTACC